CCCCCGGCCCCGCCGTACGTCGGGGAGGCGGCGAGGCTCCGCCCCTCATTGGGCGAGCGCGCTGTCAATCACGGGCAGGCCACGCCCACACCGCCGGCTGGGGGCGGGAACCCGGGGCTTGGATTGACAGAGTGCCCCCGGCCCCGCCGTACGTCGGGGAGGCGGCGAGGCTCCGCCCCTCATTGGGCGAGCGCGCTGTCAATCACGGGCAGGCCACGCCCACACCGCCGGCTGGGGGCGGGAACCCGGGGCTTGGATTGACAGAGTGCCCCCGGCCCCGCCGTACGTCGGGGAGGCGGCGAGGCTCCGCCCCTCATTGGGCGAGCGCGCTGTCAATCACGGGCAGGCCACGCCCACACCGCCGGCTGGGGGCGGGAACCCGGGGCTTGGATTGACAGAGTGGGCAGCCAATGGGAGAGAGGAATTCGGCAAATAGGCGGGGCAAGGGAGGGAGAGCACGCCCCCACGCGGGCTGGCGGTGATTGACAGCGCCGAAAGCCAATAGGAGCGCGAAAAGCATGAGGAGGCGGGGCTTGAGGGAGAGGCTCAAAAATTGGGGTTTTTTACCAGGAAAATCGGTGAAAATTGGGTTTTGTCCGTGAAATATTGGTGACAATTGGTTTTTTTTTCAGGAAAATCAATAATTTTTTTTCAGGAAAACTGGTAAATTTTTTTTCCCTAGGAAATTAGGTGAAAATTGGGTTTTATCCCGGAAAATTTGGTCAAAAATTTTTTTTTTCCGGAAAATTGGGGAAAAGTTGGGTTTTATCCAGGCAAATCCAGTCCCGATGGATTTGAGGAAAAAAAAAACCTCTGCAGAGCAAGAAAAAAAGGCCAAATAAATTCCAATTTTGGACAAAATCCCCTCTTTAAGTCCTTGCCCTGCCATAAATTCTGTGACCCGAAGTTCAAAGAAAAATTTCTCAAAAGTGCAATTTGATTTTTTCCTGTGAAACAAATTTAAGTCATTTCTTCATACAAAAAGTAAACAAACAAACAAACAAAACCCCAACCCCCCCAAGAAACTATCCAGGAGAATTCCACATCTTTTCTTTTCTTTTCTTTTCTTTTCTTTTCTTTTCTTTTCTTTTCTTTTCTTTTCTTTTCTTTTCTTTTCTTTTCTTTTCTTTTCTCTATTCTCTTCTCTTCTCTTCTCTTCTCTTCTCTTCTCTTCTCTTCTCTTCTCTTCTCTTCTCTTCTCTTCTCTTCTCTTCTCCCCCTCTGGAACCAGAGGCTGAATCCAGGTGGGAATGCCTTGCAGGGAGACGTTTTTCCCTGGGGAAGTGCTTTACAGTCCAGGAACTCATGGTTTGGGGTACAGTTTGTACCTGGCAGCCTATTCCTGCTCCTGCCCCCCACGTTTAGCCACCCCTCGCCTATTTTTGAGCTCTGGGAATGTTGGTTTTTATTTTATTTTATTTTATTTTATTTTATTTTATTTTATTTTATTTCATTTCATGTTCCATCCCTGACCCGTTTCCCTCCCGTCCCGCGGAGCCGTTCCCGATCCCGGGGGCTCAGAGCGGCCCCGGCAGCGGCACCGGGCGGATCCGGAGCGCGCCCGGCTCCCCCGGGGACACGAACGGGAGGAACCGGCCCGGGCCGATCCCGGCCGGCCGATCCCCCCGATCCCCCGCGGGATCCCCGAGGCCGATCCCGGCCAGCCGCTCCCTCCGCTCCGCGTCAAAGAATTCCAGCCGCGCCTTCTCCCGGTCCAGGAACACCCCGAGCACCGAGAGATCCCGGGGATGATCCCCGAGCGCTGAGAGATCCCGGGGATGATCCCCGAGCGCCGAGAGATCCCGGGGATGATCCCGGAGCACCGAGAGATCCCGGGGATGATCCCGGAGCGCCGAGAGATCCCGGGGATGATCCCGGAGCACCGAGAGATCCCGGCGGTGCTTCCCGAGAGCGCGGCTCACGGAGAAGAGGCGGCCCTGGGATGCGCAGAGAGCCCAGAGCCACGGGGGATCCCGGGGATCGAGGGGATCCAGGGAGTCGCTGGGATTGTGGGAATTCAGAGAATCCAGGGGATCACGGGAATGGCAGGGATCCTGGGGATCCCGGGGATCGCGGGAATCGTGGGAATGGCAGGGATCGTGTGGATCGCGGGGATCGGGGGGGTCCCGCAGCACGCCCAGCGCCCAGCTCCGCTGCTGGCCCAGCTCCACCTCCCAGTAGCCCTTCCCGGCTCCCAGCGCGTCCCGAGCCACCAGCGCCGGCACCGGGAGCGGATCCCCGAGGTCCAGGAGCCGCGCCTCGGGATCCAGCGCCACCGGAACTGCGGGGACGGAGGGATCCCCTCAGGGACCGGGGAATTCCCGGGAGAGGGGATTCGCAGAATCGCGGAATACCAGAATCCCCACAATCACAGAAACTCCGAATCCGGGGATCCCAGAAACCCAGAATCCCCAAGTTCCGGAATCCCAGAATCCCCAAATTCACAGAAACCCTGAATCCCCAAAATCACAGAAACCCTGAATCCCCAAAATCACAGAAACCCTGAATCCCAAATGCCGTGATTCTGGAATCCCAAAATCCCCAAATCCCTGAAACCCCAGAATTCCCAAATCCTCAAATCACACAAACCCCGAATCCTGGAATCCCAAAATCCCTAAATCCCCAAACCCCAGAATCCCAGAATCCCTAAACCCACAAATGCTGTAATTCCTGAATTCCAAATTCCCCAAATCCCCGAAACCCCAGAATCCCCAAATCCTCAAATCCCAGAAATCCCAAATCCCAGAATCCCTAAATCGACAAATCCCAGAATCCCTGGATCCTAAAATCCCCAAATCACAGGAACCCTGAATCCTGGAATCCCCAAATCCCTGAACTCCCAAATTCTTTAATCCCCAAATTTGTGAACACCCAAATCCCCAAATCCCCGAATCCCCAAATTCCTGATCCTCCAAATCCCCCATATTCCTGACCCCCCCAATCTCCGAATCCTTGAATCCCTGAATCTTCGAATACCCAAATTACCCAATCCCTGGATCCCTGAAACCCCAAATCCCCGAATTCCTGAACCCCCGAATCCCTAAATCCCCAAATCCCTAAATCCCCAAATCCCTGAAACCCCGAATCCCCAAATAGAAACCCTGAATCCCCAAAATCACAGAAACCCTGAATCCTGTAATCCCAGAAACTCTAAATCCCCAAATGCCGTGATTCTGGAATCCCAAAATCCCCAAATCCCTGAAACCCCAGAATTCCCAAATCCTCAAATCACACAAACCCCGAATCCTGGAATCCTAAAATCCCTAAATCCCCAAACCCCAGAATCCCAGAATCCCTAAACCCACAAATGCTGTAATTCCTGAATTCCAAATTCCCCAAATCCCCGAAACCCCAGAATCCCCAAATCCTCAAATCCCAGAAATCCCAAATCCCAGAATCCCTAAATCGACAAATCCCAGAATCCCTGGATCCTAAAATCCCCAAATCACAGGAACCCTGAATCCTGGAATCCCCAAATCCCTGAACTCCCGAATTCTTTAATCCCCAAATTTGTGAACACCCAAATCCCCAAATCCCCGAATCCCCAAATTCCTGATCCTCCAAATCCCCCATATTCCTGACCCCCCCAATCTCCGAATCCTTGAATCCCTGAATCTTCGAATACCCAAATTACCCAATCCCTGGATCCCTGAAACCCCAAATCCCCGAATTCCTGAACCCCCGAATCCCTAAATCCCCAAATCCCTGAATCCCCAAATTCCTGAACCCCCAAATCCCCAAATTCCTGAACCCCCGAATCCCTAAATCCCCAAATCCCCAAACTCCTGAAACCCCAAATCCCTGAATCCACAAATCCTCGAATTTCCCAGTCCCGGAATCCCAGAGCTCATTCCACTCACCCGCGTGGCTCCGCGCTTCCCAGAAATCTGCGAGAAGAAGAAAAAACCGGGAATTCCAATTTTTATGGAGGAATTCCATTTCCCCCCCACCCCCCAGAATTCCCATTTAATCCCCCCAACATCCCGGAAATTTGGGTATTCCTGAGGTTTTCCTGGGAATTTGGTTTTCCTGGGAATTTGTTTTTCCCGGGAATTTGGGCATTCCCGAGGTTTTCCCGTGAATTTGGCCGTTCCCCAGTTTTTCCCGGGAATTTGGGCATTCCCGGGGTTTTCCGAACTTACCCAGCTCGGCTTTCAGCTGACCTGAAAGGAAAAGTTATTCCCGTCACTTTTGTAGGATTTTCCCACTTTTCGCCCCATTTTCCCCACCAGAACAACCCCCGGGTGTGGAATTGCAGGGAATTCCCTTCCCTGGATGAATTAGCCCCAAATTCCAGGGAAAATGTGGAAAATAAACGGAATTCCTGAGTTATTTTAAACCAATTTTGGGGGAAATGTGGATTTATGGGATTTGTGTTTTCTTACCCAAGCGTTTCTTGAATTGGATTTTTGCTGGAAAGGAAAAAGGGGGAATGAGTGATGGGAAAATTCCATGGAAAAATGAAAATATCAGAGGGAAAAAAGGGGGGAAAGGAGAAAAAAATGGGATAAAAGGGAATAAAAGAGGGGAAAAAGGGGGACAAAAGGGGGAAAATGGGGAGAAAAGGAGAAAAAATGTTAAGGAAATGGGTTTAAAA